TAATCTGTTTATCATAACATATGGTGTCTCTAGCTCTATCGATCTCTGAGTAATTAGAGGAAAAAACGAAAAGTGTTCAACTTTCGTCCCGGTTCTCCCCTAAGCCTAAGCTTTAGGGCCTAACTGTAGGCTAGGCGGGCCAAATACACAGCAATCACTAAATGCTTTTGGGAACTTCGGCAGAAAATGTTTACGTCGATCCTAAACAGTCAATAAATCAATTAATATCGATCCTAAACAGTCAATAAATCAATTAATATTATAAATATTAATTGATTTATATATATATATATATATATATATATATATATATATATATATATATATATATATATATATATACAGTTGAAGTTGGAAGTTTACATATACTTAGGTTGGAGACATTAAAACTCGTTTTTCAACCACTCCACAAATTTATTTTTAATAAACTATAGTTTTGGCAAGTCGGTTAGGACATCTACTTTGTGCATGACACATAATTTTTCCAACTATTGTTTACAGATAGATTAATTCACTTATAATTCACTGTATCACAATTCCAGTGGGTCAGAAGTTTACATACACTAAGTTGACTGTGCCTTTAAACAGCTTGGAAAATTCCAGAAAATGATGTCATGGCTTTAGAAGCTTCTGATAGGCTAATTGACATCATTTGAGTCAATTGGATGTGTACCTGTGGATGTATTTCAAGGCCTACCTTCAAACTCAGTGCCTCTTTGCTTGACATCATGGGAAAACCAAAATAAATCAGCCAAGACCTCAGAAAAATAATTGTAGACATCCACAAGTCTGGTTCATCCTTGGGAGCAATTTCCAAACGCCTGAAGGTACCACATTCATCTGTACAAACAATAGTACGCAAGAATAAACACCATGGGACCACGCAGCCGTCATACCACTCAGGAAGGAGACGCATTCTGTCTCCTAGAGATGAACGTACTTTGGTGCGAAAAGTGCAAATCAAGGAAGCAGGTACAAAAAGATCTACATCCACAGTAAAACGAGTATATATCAACATAACCTGAAAGGCCGCTCAGCAAGGAAGAAGCCGCTGCTCCAAAACTGCCATAAAAAAGACAGACTACGGTTTGCAACTGCACATGGGGACAAAGATCGTACTTTTTGGAGAAATGTCCTCTGGTCTGATGAAACAAAAATATAACTGTTTGGCCATAATGACCATTGTTATGTTTGGAGGCAAAAGGGGAACGCTTGCAAGCCAAAGAACACCATCCCAACCGTGAAGCACGGGGGTGGCAGCATCATGCTGTGGGGGTGCTTTGGAGGAGGGACTGGTGCACTTCACAAAATAGATGGCATCATGAGGAAGGAAAATTATGTGGATATGTTGAAGGAACATCTCAAGACATCAGTCAGGAAGTTAAAGCTTGGTCGCAAATGGGTCATCCAAATGGACAATGACCCCAAGCATACTTCCAAAGTTGTGGCAAAACAGCTTAAGGACAACAAAATCAAGGTATTGGAGTGGCCATCACAAAGCCCTGACCTCAAGCCTATAGAAAATCTGTGGGCAGAACTGAAAAGGCGAGGAGGCCAAAATTCACCCAACTTATTGTGGGAAGCTTGTGGAAGGCTACCAGAAATGTTTGACCCAAGTTAAACAATTTAAATGCAATGCTACCAAATACTAATTGAGTGTATGTAAACTTCTGACCCACTGGGAATGTGATGAAATAAATAAAAGCTGAAATAATTCTCTCTACTATTATTCTGACATTGCACATTCTTAAAATAAAGTGGTGATCCTAACTGACCCAAGACAGGGAATTTTTACTAGGATTAAATGTCAGGAATTGTGAAAAACAGTTTAAATGTATTTGGCTAAGGTGTATGTAAACTTCCGACTTCAACTGTATATATATATATATATATATATATATATATATATACACTGCTCAATAAAATAAAGGGAACACTTAAACAACACAATGTAACTCCAAGTCAATCACACTTCTGTGAAATCAAACTGTCCACTTAGGAAGCAACACTGATTGACAATACATTTCACATCCTGTTGTGCAAATGGAATAGACAACAGGTGGAAATTATAGGCAATTAGCAAGACACCCCCAATAAAGGACTGGTTTTGCAGTTGGTGACCACAGACCACTTCTCAGTTCCTATGCTTCCTGGCTGATGTTTTGGTCACTTTTGAATGCTGGCGGTGCTTTCACTCTAGTGGTAGCATGAGACGGAGTCTACAACCCACACAAGTGGCTCAGGTAGTGCAGCTCATCCAGGATGGCACATCAATGCGAGCTGTGGCAAGAAGGTTTGCTGTGTCTGTCAGCGTAGTGTCCAGAGCATGGAGGCGCTACCAGGAGACAGGCCAGTACATCAGGAGACGTGGAGGAGGCCGTAGGAGGGCAACAACCCAGCAGCAGGACTGCTACCTTTCGCCTTTGTGCAAGGAGGAGCAGGAGGAGCACTGCCAGAGCCCTGCAAAATGACCTCCAGCAGGCCACAAATGTGCATGTGTCTGCTCAAACGGTCAGAAACAGACTCCATGAGGGTGGTATGAGGGCCCGACGTCCACAGGTGGGGGTTGTGCTTACAGCCCAACACCGTGCAGGACGTTTGGCATTTGCCAGAGAACACCAAGATTGGCAAATTCGCCACTGGCGCCCTGTGCTCTTCACAGATGAAAGCAGGTTCACACTGAGCACGTGACAGACGTGACACAGTCTGGAGACGCCGTGGAGAACGTTCTGCTGCCTGCAACATCCTCCAGCATGACCGGTTTGGCGGTGGGTCAGTCATGGTGTGGGGTGGCATTTCTTTGGGGGGCCGCACAGCCCTCCATGTGCTCGCCAGAGGTAGCCTGACTGCCATTAGGTACCGAGATGAGATCCTCAGACCCCTTGTGAGACCATATGCTGGTGCGGTTGGCCCTGGGTTCCTCCTAATGCAAGACAATGCTAGACCTCATGTAGCTGGAGTGTGTCAGCAGTTCCTGCAAGAGTAAGGCATTGATGCTATGGACTGGCCCGCCCGTTCCCCAGACCTGAATCCAATTGAGCACATCCGGGACATCATGTCTCGCTCCATCCACCAACGCCACGTTGCACCACAGACTGTCCAGGAGTTGGCGGATGCTTTAGTCCAGGTCTGGGAGGAGATCCCTCAGAAGACCATCCGCCACCTCATCAGGAGCATGCCCAGGCGTTGTAGGGAGGTCATACAGGCACGTGGAGGCCACACACACTACTGAGCCTCATTTTGACTTGTTTTAAGGACATTACATCAAAGTCGGATCAGCCTGTAGTGTGGTTTTCCACTTTAATTTTGAGGATGACTCCAAATCCAGACCTCCATGGGTTGATACATTTGATTTCCATTGATCATTTTTGTGTGATTTTGTTGCCAGCACATTCAACTATGTAAAGAAAAAAGTATTTAATAAGATTATGTCATTCATTCAGATCTAGGATGTGTTATTTTAGTGTTCCCTTTATTTTATTGAGCAGTGTATATATTTGCATATGTTGTAGCTTAGACCCTATTTTACATAATCTAAGGTTTTTGTGTTGTGCCTGCCATCAGTTGAGACAACATGCTCTTGAATACAGGGTGGGTGTCATGTTTTGGCTGATAAATGTACTAAAATGGGAATACAATGAAAATGTCAACTTTCAAATGGGACCACAAAGCTGGTTGGAGGTCCACACATTAGAGAATGTTGACTTGAATGGGAATATCTGTTTAAAATTATACTTTCAACCCTCCATAGGAAACCTATTGAAATATAGATAACAGAATAGACATGACCATTTAAGTTGACATTCAACAGTGGGTGGTCATCTTTGTGGTAGTAATTAGAAGCTACAATTTCAATTAAATGGTGTACCAGCTAAATTGCAGTGGTCTGAAGAAATAGGTCCATTCTTTGAATTATATTTCTATGAATGAAATGACACACCCTGTATTCAAGAGCATGTTGTGTCTCAACCGATGGCGGCCACAACACAAAAACTTCAGATGATGTGAAATAGGGTCTAAGCTACAACATATGTGAATATGAAGGGGAAAAAATGAGTATGCGTTTTTAGATAATTGACATTAAAGGTTTAAATTTTAGACATTTTATAAAAAATAAAACTGTTTGACCACACTGTTAATAAGCTTTTAAATTATATTAAACTCAACCGTTTATATCTTCCAGTAATGAAGACAAGCACGTTTATCTCCTGAATGTTTTGGCATTCAGGTCCAAAAAGCCAGTCTGACCACTCCTTCAAAAGGGATGCTGTCAAAAAGTGATTAAACTCTAATGGATTTACCCAATTTGAAGTTGGTTTACATTCTGAATTGAAATGGAATTATCCCCAACCCTGGTAAATAACAATATTCCTGAAGACTAGTGATGCAAAAAAAATGTTTGCAGTCTTTTAGAAATCAAATAGACATCTTACAAATGATTCGCCCTCCTAAGGTATTATAATATTATGTAGTTTCACTCTTAACAAGTGTGGTATGAATAACATTGGGGGATGACTTTACATTAGGGCGCAAAGCAACTCCCTTTCATTGAATCATGTGCCAAGTGCTATCATTCTTCCAATCCTGTCACACAATGGAACTGCTAAGTGTTTTTAGAACAAGACTGTAATTAGTAGGTATTTGCTTTCTTTTGTTTTTTCACCCTCCTAACCCCCCCTTTCCTGTCCAAACTTTTTACGGGTCAACATAATGTCGCAATGAGTGAGTAAAGGTATATAACTAAAAACTATTTGGCATCGGGGAACTTAGATGTCCTGTGTAAATTTAGGATGCGTCTCAAATGGCACCCTATTTCCTATATAGTGCACTATTTTCTACCATAGCCCATAGAGGCCCTGGTCAAACGTAGTGAAAAGTATGCCATTTGGGACACATTAACACTGATTTCACTGCTGACCTGGGACCTGTGGAAAAACATCATCCATCATGATCCCAGGATAGGAAACTAACGCTGTGAAATTGTTTATAGGAACATTTCACACAACAATTGTAAGGAGAATGTTTTTATTCTCTTAACCTTAAGGCCTTTCTATTACATACATTCAACAAAACATTCTCTCTCTCTATCCTGTTTGGCTTACAGTGAGGTTACTAAGGCCAAAACATAGACCCCTTTTTATGTATACAGTAAAGATGCAGACAGGGCAGAATACTTTTTTATTGACTGGGCAATAATGTTTTCTGAGAATTTCACAGGAACACAAACACCTGTCTTTAAGAAATCCTAGCATTAAACAAGACTTTGAAAAACAGTGTTTATTTCAATAATTCAATAACGATAGCTATTTTGAAGCTAAATCTTGCAGAGTGCCGAGTTCAATGTGTCAATTAAATGTATGTAATAGTTACTCTTTAAATTGCACGCAAAGTACACAGCACGAGGACAGATCCATCACAAGCACACAACGTGTTTGCTATACACTTTTCCTTGATCAGACACCAACAGCGGAATTGTCAAGGTAGAGAAACGGGCACGGTGTGTATAGTTAACAGAGTCTCTGAACAACCAAAACAATACATGTTGTATCCGATTAAGGGCGATAACAGGTTCTCTGTTAACCATCTACATTGGTTCTCTCATGGGAAAATACCATCCAATCTCTGAGTGACAGTTTGAGATTTCAGGAGCAGGGTGTGCCTTTCTGTCATTATTGTTTTAGTAAACGGATCACCCCTAGCCCTGAGACAAGGCTGTGTCACGCCATAGGAGTCTACAACCCTTAAATCCCACGTTAGCATTTGTGTGATCATAAATTACTTACAAAGATAAGCGTTTCTCTTCAATTTTACCATCACAGTTCAGTTGAGGTAAACCTCAGCCTCCTTGAGGACCTCCTCTTTCTGCTGAAAGTAGTCCCTGAACCAGGCTATGTGTTCTCTCTTCTGCTGTACTGTGTAGTAGGGGTTCTTAGCCAGGCCCGAGACCACCAGCTCCATGAAGTGTCTGACAGGTCCCTGGCGCGGGAAGCCTTCCTCCAGGTGTTTCTCCAGGAACACGTGCTCATGGAAGGGCACCAGGGCCTCCTCCTCAAGACCTGAGTCACAGGTGGGAGAAAAGGGGTTTGGGGTCAGAGAAGAAAACCAAACACTTGTCGAATCATGCCCCAACTGTCTTTTTTCTCAGTCTCTCCTTCAATCAAATCGATCCCATTTATAAAGCCTTTCTTTATATCAACAGTATTCTGTGCTTTACAGTAACCTGGCCTAGACTCCAAAGAGCGAGCAAAAGTACAGTGGCGAGGAAAAACTCCCATCAGGAACTCACCAGCCTCGTTGTTGATTGGATACTGCCACAGCCTGCCCTCTTTGGTCCACTGGATCATCTCCTCAAAGCCATTACGAGGCATTTGATTGGTTGACAGGGCCACTTGATTGGCTAACTCCATGTCCCATAGGGTCGGAGCAGCTATGTCTGTGTCTGCTTCCGGTTCAGTGCTCGGGGTGAAGATGTTCAGCCTTTTCCCCGAAAATAGACTTCTCCTGACAACCACAGGTTCAAAGAAAAAGGTCAAGTTCAATCAAACACTAGTAAATACATGACATATCATTTTATTCATTTAGCAGACGCTCTTATCCAGAGCGACACAGTTAGTGAGTGCATACATTTTCATACTGGCCCCCCATGGGAAACGAACCCACAACCCTGGCGTTGCAAGCGCCATGCTCTACCAACTGAGCTACAGGGGACCTCCCACACTAAAAGACTTCCTGGATGTGCCGGAATATTATTGGAATAGTTTGACTGATTTTTATTTATTTTGGGTTATTGTACAATTTTAAAAAATGCAGAAGCCATAGGATAACACATGAAAGCATTACACAAGGCTCTGATGAAGGCGATTACGCCGAAACGTAAGCCTGCTTATTTGTCTCGTCAATAAATAATCATCTCTATGCAGCAACAGAGTGCTCCTCTTTATTTTCCTGGATAGTTACCCGTTGTACTGTCCTGGGGTAAGGAAGGTTTTTGGATTAGACAACAGTTATTTCTAATGTGAACTAGTTGAACGTGAGACATTTACTTATGAATGAAGACGGGACATTTTTACTTCAGCACTGTAGTCCTAGCTATGTCTAGGGCATTATCCTGACCTCCTCCGTAATCCACCATCCAGCTCTGCAGTGATGCCTCGGTCATGGGTGTAGCCCCGCCCATCTTCATCAAAGCGGATCTGATTGGCTGGCCGTGCGTTCTGCCTGCCATTGGGCCTCTTCCCCACCTTCATGTCAGCAATGATAAACCTGAAACAATGATATCTTAATTAGATTGCATATCTGCTTGTTTCACGGCTATTAGATTACACTATGGACCTCTACAGCCGGGGAATAAAACTCATAAATTACATTTACATTTGAGTCCTTTAGTAAACTTATCTAGAGCAACCTGCAATGCAGTGCATTCAACTGAAGCAAGTAAAACAACTACAATCACATGCAAGTTAAAACCTTCTTCAAAAACAGCTGCCAGGTGAAAAATCAGTGCTAGTAAGAGTAAATGAGAAGACACTTACCCAATGTTGTTGACGTCCCCGTTCTTCTGTGCCTCTCCGACAGCCTCATGTTGCCTCAGCTTCTTCAGCAGCTCTGACTCAGCCTGGCTCTGGTTAGGTAGAGTAGATGCAGCAGCCGAGACAGCAGCAACCAGCTCAAGGCTCAGTGTCTCACTGCGCACACATGCGGACACACACAAAAGGGTGAATTTGGTGGAAGGTGGAAGTGCGAGACTAGATATATGGCCACAATAGAAGCAGTTGAATCTCAGCAGAAGATAGGAAACACCAAAATGACGAGTAGACACGGCACCAGTCTCCTCACCTTGGGGCATGTGCGTCAGCCATGCCAGTGGCCTCCTGGAACATACTGGTGGTGCTCTCCATAGCTTCTGGCTTGGGCCTGGCAGCAGGCTCAGAGATCCTCTGCACCTTCAAGGCCTTAAACTTCCTCTTGTTGGTCACCTCTACCTTCATGGCCCCCAGGAGGTCCAGCAGATTCTCCTTCCCACTCTTCACAGGCTGAATTTCCTCCTTAGGCGGGACTTCTGTCTGTTGTTCCTCTTTATTGACCTCTAACGTCTGCTCCTCTATTACCTTGTCTCCCTCTTTCTTTCCTTCTATAACCTCTGTTTTAACGTGGACCTCTACAATTGTTTCACCCTCTTTTACTACCTCCATTGTTACTTCTAGCTTTTGCTCTTCTGTTTTACTGGCTATCATGATTTCTTCCATTTCCTCACTCTCCTTTACTCCCTCCATCTTTACTTCTGGAATGGGCACAGGTTCTGTTTTAGTCTGGATTTCTTCCATTTTCTCGCTATCCTTGGCTGCCTCCATATTAACTGGAATTTCCTCAATTATTTTGCTCTCCTTTACAGCCTCCATCTTTGCCTCCAGAATTGGCTCAACCTCTTCTGTTTTAATCTGGATTATTTCTTCAATTTTCTCACTCTCCTTAGCTGCCTCCATCTTTGATTGTAGTTTTTGCTCAACCTCTTCTGTTTTCATGTGGATTTCATTAATTTTGACGCTCTCTGTTCCACCATCCATCTTTGCCTCTAGCCTTGGCTCAACCTCTTCTGTTTGTATAAGAATTTCTTCAATTTTCTCGCTCTCCTTTACTGCTTCCATCTTCACCCCTACTCTCTGCTCACGCTGTTCTGCCACCATTTTTACACAATCTTGTAGCTCTATGACCTTCTCTCCAACCATCTTTATTGCTTCCTTCTGCTCACCATCCTTCACTGTACTATTTTCTTCCTTGGGAGGGAGTGGCCCCTCTTTTTTTCCACAGTAGGTGGCAGAGCTTGTGCCAAACGCATTGAAGACCCCTCCATTCGTCGCTCTGGGTGAGGGAGAGAGAGAGTAAGCACAAGAAACATTAAATCAAAATATTATAATACCTTGCAAGACACAGTGGCCCTCAAAGACATTGTGCTGCACTAGTACTGAAAAAGTATGTACTTATGATAGTTTGCTACATGGCTGCAAAGTGAGAATAGATTAGATCTTTATTGTAGATAAAGATGAGATGTTGGTCCAGGGCCAGCCCGCTCATTAGGGGCAGATTGACGAGGGCGGCATTTTCAGAGCTAAACTGACCAAGTCCTCCAACAACATCACATAAAACCTCACATATTTCTGCCCAAAAACAATGGCAATTTCTCTCAACCAGTGGCATATGGGCTTTTTAGGTGAGCGCTGATACCACCCTATGATAAGCAGTGCCCACTTTGTCAAAAGCAGGGACGCAAAATATTTCTCTTGTCCAGTCCCAGCGCGCCTCTCCAGGGTGCTGTTGGCGAGACGCATCGCTGCGGCGCTCCACCAACATTCCGTCAAAACATTTTACATAAATCCTGTAGCAGATATAGCATATGGTAGAAAGAGTATATGGCCTTTTCTGTAGCCTACAGGCTGGAGATAAAATGTATGACAATCTAATGAGACAGAAACTTTTTACATCATGCAGGTTTCTCAGATCAGCGCATTTTTTATTTGATTGGCACCCAAAAAAATGCACTGACATGTTCAAAAACAACATATCCTAAAAACAGTCCAGGTCAAAGTAAAATATACAATATGGAATGGACAATCAGGCTACTCACAACTGATGTCCAGGAGTTTCATCCCATGTGCTAAATTGTCAAGATCAGTGGTTTCAAGTTTGTATCAGTCAATTTTTTACGTGCTGTGTAAACACATTGCAAATAGGCTCAGGATAACTCCTCCTGATAAAGTTGGATAGCTGATTTTCAGAGCTTAAATAGCCACATTGATTAGTCACAGGAATCAGGACGAATAGAGCCAATGCAAAGGCCTGTTTTACAATCGGTGGGCTCCTACCAACTGAATGGGCATTCATAAAATTCCATTGTTGGCTGACATGGTAGGCCAGGGATGGGCAACTCCAGGCCTCTGGGGCCTGATTGGTGTCGCACTTTTGCCCCAGCTAACACATCTGACTCCAATAATCACCTGATCTTCTGTTCAGAATGCAATTAGTTTCATCAGCTGTATTGACTAAGGATGGGGAAAAAGTGTGACACCACTCTGTCCCCCGAGGACTGGAGTTGCCCATCCCTGGCCTACAGTGTTGCCTGAAATTTAATTAGTTCATCCCTGCTGTAGGCTATAACTCAGTAAGCACGGACTGACGCTAATGCCGTTTGGACATACTTTTTTGGTCCTGTCCGGACTTCTTTTTTTGGTGCAGTCCAGACCGGCCTTGATTTCCACGACCACGGACATTGGTTTTTGGTTCAGACGTCTATGTTTGGTTCAGATTTTGTCCAGTCTGGACCAGCCTTGATTTGGCCCAAACATAGATGTCTATGAATTACGTATTTTCACCTTTAATTCAGAACCTAAATTGAACCTAACTTCAACATCTGGAAAATACGTATTTTAGACATAATTCTGCTTACTTGGACTATTCTTGTAGGGGTGGCAATTTTTTTGTCTGGCCTAGGGCAGCAGAACTGCCAGGACCGGCCCTTTGTTGGTCATTGCCATAGTAAGTATAGCTTGTAATAGTGATGTTACCTTTGATACCAGAGCTCATCCATCATTAAGCAGCTAACTTCGAAGCAGTGTGCTGAAGCATGTATCACTTTATCAGAAATGTCAATGACTTCAGAAGCTTTGTTTGATCACGTGCTTTTTCAAAATGTATGTTACAAAACGCGAGATGGCACTTTTTTCACCATGGTTCAGGTGCTTTTTTCGATTCCAAGCTGCTTTCAAACACCGACCTCTACTGGACACCATACTTACAGCTCGGGTTTTGTACATCAAGTTCCACCTAAACGGTAGCTTAACATGTATTGTAGGGAACATTCAGGGACGTGAGGGTATGAGGTCGATTCCCGTTTAAGACACACCATTTTGATAATTATTTTGTGAAACCACTTTCTGCACTGTTGTTCAAATAATTTGTTTTATTTAGTATAGTATAAGCTTGTCTTAAGCATCCTAAATAACGCCATAGATTCCGTTTTTGAATAATAGTTAACTTGAAGGCAAAAAAGGGATTCATGATGTAAAATGCAAACCTGGTATTCCAACGGATTAGTTAGGTTAACAAAGCCAACGATGTATCGTTGCGCCACGGAGTTCTGATGAAAACAGTGGAGAAAAAAAACCTTCTCATAATCACACCCTGCTATTTGTTGACCACCAGATGTCACTAATGTCCATTGTGAACAGAATGACGCTCCGAGTAATGAACAGTTTTTCGGCACAATTTGGTGAATGCGCCGAAGCCTTCAGAAAGCCTCGGTTTCCCATCACTAGGTTGTAGCCTAATTAGCTATACGGCTCTCGAAGGTTGGTTAGCTAGCTAGCTAACGTTAGCTACTGTAGCTTGATTGTGAAGTTGTCATCAGACAACCTTGTAGAGGCTGATATAAGAACTTACCTGTAAATGGGGAGTAACACTATGTCACATTTCGACGACCTTAAACATGCCTCACGGATGTACACATGTAATGCACGATTTCTAGCCTGATAGACTGACAACAGTAGTCTTCTATACATGATTGCTCTTCACAAACGCCTACAATGTCGTCCATACACGTTTCCTCCTTGTGCGACGATCAAACTGTCCGTAGTGAAACAATGGTTCCGCTCGACACTGCACGTGAGAGCGGTTTCATGTGATAGAGATGAAAATATCCGTTAGAAATTTAGAAGAGAGGGGATCTAATAGGCTACGTTGAAGCAAGGTAAGACGTGTCAAATAATATGTATTAAAAAGTTCCGCTTTCAAAAAATTAAGTATATGTTTTCAAAATGCATACTGCCTCCAGCTCATTACAAAGTGGTGTGTGACGTTTGATGCCTCGTTCAAAACAACTGGGAACTCGGAACTCTCTGACGTCCGACTTCAGTGAGTTCAAGACAACTGGGAACTGGGGGGGGGGGGGGAACTAGCTCCGTTTTTAACTGTCATCCAACTCGGAATTACAACTCGGGAACTCGACCCTCTTTCTAGAGCTGCGACTTTCCGACCTGAAGATCACTGAAGTCATGATTTGACCTGTATATTTTCGAGTTCCCAGTTGTCTTGAAAGCACCACAAGAAGCAGCAGCTCTTGCTGTCTGACAGACAGAATTTCCACTCTAAGGCTCTGTATCTGAATGCTGTAGGCCTATGCGTGTGATACATAACGAATATACTGTACACATGCGCCAATTTAATTCCACTAAATTACGCAATTTAACCTATAGACCGATAAGCATGACCAGTCAAATGTATTTCCATCGACTGGTATTTCCATCAATGAATAGGCTAAAAAACATTATTTTGCATGGTAGTCATCCTCAATAGCCTCCTTTTGGTGAGGAAACACAAGTGTATCCTACCTTAAAAGTTTTGATATCTGCCACACCCCATGTCGGAGGAGAAAAGCATGCACACATTTACATATCATTTTATCTAAGCTTAAGAATGGCGCTGTTAAGATCAGAGATTTCTCTCCTGAGTATGCACCTTCGTTCGAGGTGTACATACCTACGTATCCTGATTACAAACCAAGTAATATTACTTATATATCTTCATGCTCTCTTGAGAACCTTGATGATCTTGAAATGGAGTCAGACGGCAGTGGTGAGCGCTCTGAGGTTGAGCCAGTCCAGGATGGAGTGGGTCTACCTGCAGCGACAGGTGTAATGGAGACTTCCAATGTTTGCCCTGAAAATCCTACCAGAGATGATTTTGGACCAGTAGGAGTGAGATTTTTGGAAAGAGTGGATCCCTGCATTTTGGCCAACCCATACATTGTGTCGGGCTGGGTAAAGGACAAACTGGGAATGGTTACATCTGTGAACGTTTTGAGAAGTGGAATTGTTTAGATTTTTTGTGTATCCTCCCCCCAGAGGAATTGGGCGCCACTCGAATCACGCAGCTCGGGGCTCAACCTGTGGTGTGCTTTGCTTTCCGGAGCAGGGCGCCACTAAAAGTGGTGATCAGTGGGGTAGCGTTGAGTGTAGAGGTGGATCAAATTAAAAAGAATATTCCTAGTGTTTGTAACACCCACCTTTTCAAATCAAATCAAATGTATTGGTCACATACACATGGTTAGCAGATGTTATTGCGAGTGTAGCGAAATGCTTGTGCGATTGTGAGACAATGGCGAGACAAAATACCCTGTCTGTCTTGTTGAGCTTTGACACAGAGATTCTTCCTGATAAGGTCAGGTTAGGTTATAATTGCTATTCTGTGAGGGCCTATGTTCCGAACCCGCTTCAGTGCTTTAGGTGCCAAGGATTCGGACATGATGCAGCAGTGTGTAGAAGGGAGATCCCACCATGTGAGAAATGTGCAGGAGGGCATAGTCAGAGGGAGTGTACAGTTGGGATAGAGAAAGCACTGTGTCAACTGTGGGGGTGCCCATGCAGCTGGGTATCCGAAGTGCCCTGTGTGAGAGAGACAGGGTGAGATTGCCAGAGTTCGAGAGGGGCAGAAAGTTTCCTATACTGAGGCAATGAAAAGAGTAGAGGATAGCCCAAGGGTGAGTGAGTCGACTGGGAGCCGCCAAGTGAGTAGGCCTGAAGAGAGGTTGGATTTATTGCATTCATGGTAATCAACTGCATGGCACTGATGGAGCAGAAATCACAGAAGATAGATGTGGTAGTTGCAGCAGCAGAGACAAATGTGGCTGTGAGAGATTTTAGTGCAGAAGATCTACAGGAAGTTTTGAGAGAAGGGGTTCTGTCTTCCCAGGCCGACAGCCTGTTGTAGGATTGTTTAGGGTCAAGTAGTAAGTAGTGGGATGGGGTGGTGGGTTTTTGGGGATAGTGTATAGGTGAAGGGCTAGATGGTGGTGCAATTTAAGTTTTTCCCATTCCCCTTTTCCCTTTATATTTTGGTTTTGTCACAATGTGGAATGCACATTCCGAACTGAGAAAGGCAGTAATACACCAAAAAGCATAGAGTCTGCCGGAAATTCACAAGAAGAAGAAGAAGAAGTAATTCCATTGGGTAATAAATGGAGGAACATATAACGGCCCACCCAGCAGACTGTAGACCAATCAAGTTGACGTTGTCATGCCGCATCACGCAATCCCTTCTCAAGGTCAGGGTATGAGTCGAGAAACCTGCCTATTTTCCAGTGGCATGTATTCATGGCTGCCAAGGGAAGCCAAGCTTCCCCAAAAAAGTGACCAGGAATAAGTGTCAAGGGAAGCCAGTTTGGATTTGGCTTCATTCCTATCACATCGAGAACATAGAAACAACTTGAATTGTTGCATCTCGTTGTGTTGTTGTCCTCCGGTGGCTAGCTAGCTAGCTAAAATTGGCCCTTTCCTAAATTAGCCATGGATGGAGATAAGGATTTGGACTTGTGGTTTTACTTGATTCTTAGTACTGGCCAATGATTATAACGGCGATTCTGATCCAACCATAAATTCATACACTGCCCCTGGCCTGAGAGGATTAAAGTTCAATATGTACTTAGATGTAGAAGGCTAATGTTAACTAGCTAACGTTGCCCATTAAAGGAAGTTAGGCTAGCGAGCAAGCATTTTAGCCAGGGAGCCTAGAACAACAAAAAATAAAAGTGTGTACTGTATGACAGAGTCATAGTCTGTTTCATCAACATGAAAGAGAAGAGGATGGCATTGGTGTTTCTCTACAAGTAGGGTGAGTCAACATGTTTTTTCTACTTGCATGCACACACAGAAATCGGAACCATGGACAGCCACATCATATTTAGTTTACATTGTTTGGACTAAATTGTTTTATGGTATCTTTTGTTGTCATTGTATTAGGGTGGTGAAATGGTGCTGGAATAGTGGAGGCAGCTTCTGTTTTCTTTGTGACTTGGGGTAACTCCATGGTTCTAAGTCAATAGTTGTTTAGTAGTCAGAAAATGTCGGAACAATTAACTTGCTTGACCATGCTGTAGGTCATGTAACTGTTTGTTACATGCAATATGCTTTGTAGACTTTACTTGACAGAGGTTGCTCTCCGGTTTTGTGATTAAACAAAGTTGTGGTTGAATTTATTCTGCCACCGTGTCTTCTTATTATATCGGCCTTAGGACTATATATCACGGTCGCAAGGCATATGAACTAAAAGGTCATAGAGCAAACAACTCAATTATCACAACACATAGGTTGTAATATGGCTATTTTTTCTGGTTTGTCTTCCCCAGCGATTTTACCCACGCACAATTAATAATTAATCATTATTTATGATACAAGGCGATTTGTAGATCAGTCAGTCGGCAGTCCCTGCACTGTCGGCTGCAATGTCAAACAAGCCCAATGTCCATGCTAAAACGGGTTATAGCCACGATGAGTCCTGTCTGTATGACTACAGGCACAAATCCCATCAATCGTTTTTTTCAAAGTTGCCGAAATGCGACGTGCGTCCACTTATATCAGTGGATTCGTAACAACCATTATGACATTTCTATTCGAGCAAATAAGCCTCACGTAGCAAATTATCAATTACATTTTTTGTTGACCAAATTCGACACATTGACCTCCATAGAAATATTCCTCACTTCGTGGGCTTATTTTCGTGGACAGATTTTGGGCGGAGTAAAACTAAATCTCGCTTCGCCTCTTCCTCTCTGTCGAAACCCACGTTTGAATGAGATGGCCTTGGATGCTGTGTCTCTAACGTGTTCTACGTAGCATCAAAGGTAAGTCAGAATGGAGATTGTTGTTCAATATGAAGCTAAATAAATGTAGAGAACTTGAATGAACCCTGCCCTTAACAGTATAGCTAGCTTACATTCACATATCTTCGCCGTAATGTGTAGCTACTGCTAAATTATCTAACGTTACCGTTTGTCCTAACATTTACTGCATTGCCAGCTGTCGATGTTGTAGCTTGCTTAGCCAGACAGTCGAGTCCTTTTCACCATTCTTGTTCAGATCGCAAAAATCGAAACACCAACATGATTGCCATAATGCACTGTACAACAGGAGTGGATATGTGGTTAATGGTGTCATACTCGGAACACGCGAGAGCGGTCTTCACAGTTTCTACCTTATCCATTTATATACACAATCTATGGTTTCCACACGGCGCGATGTGGTATGTCCTGAGCGTGACATAGTCGCCTCCTCCGGCACCTTGAATTTTCGCACCAATTTATGCTTCGAATGAATAGTGATCACAGACTAGCGAATTGAGACTTGAATTGGAATTGTGAATGGACAGCTAGTCTACTCTAGAGACACCTCTGCTATTTAGGGTTTATTAACTGTATTAGAGTTACATGTGAACAATAGAGGAACAGTGATTTACTGCCTCTCTTGTCTTGGGAAAAACAACTACAAAGGTTAAATGGAGTGAAATGTTTGTCAATGTTTATAAAGGTACGATGTATACTGTGGCATATGCAGTTATAATTCTTCTACTGGTGAGTGATAACTGGCTGAACATGTAATAGTAGTTTTCGACATTTTTTGTACTGTATGTTGTTGTTTCACAGATTGGCATTACAGTAGGAGCTGTACCATAATAAAGGAGGAACCCTTCTACAGGTAGTTCCAGATCTCCATCTCAATGGCCCCACACCCAGTGGTCCAGGCCATCATTGACCTCTCAGCTGGAGCTATAGGTAAAGTAACAGTTGCATAGCACAGTTTCGGGGGCCCCGCAAGGTCTGTGCAAGGCCCACAAGAGGGTCAAATTTGGCCCAAATTATTATTGTTATTATTATTATTTTGTTGTATACCCCCTCCCCCATGGGGCAGAGAGAAAAAGGTGCAGTTTCATAGCTGATCTCATGCTATTTTTTTTTTTTTAGCTATGAGGCTGAGAGAAAATGTAGCTGTTTTAGAGCTCTGGGATTTTTATAAGACAGGACAATCAACATTTGAAATATATATTTTTATAGACCAAAGTATCAGCTATCACGCCATGTAAAGGAACAACCTTTTTATATATATATATATATATATATATATATATATATATACATATACATATACATATACTACCGTTCAAAAGTTCACTTAGACATTTCCTTGTTTTCCATGAAAACATGCATGAAATGAGTTTGAATAGGAAATATAGCAAAATGCATAGGAAATGTAGTCATTGACAAGGTTAGAAATAATGACTTTTTATTGGAAATAATAATTGTGTCCTTCAAACTTTGCTTTCGTCAAAGAATCCTCCATTTGCAGCATTACAGCCTTTCAGACCTTTGGCATTCTAGTTGTCAATTAGTTGAGGTATTCTGAAGAGATTTCACCCCATGCTTCCTGAAGCACCTCCCACAAGTTGGATTGGCTTGGTGGGCACTTCTTACGTACCATACGGTCAAGCTGCTCCCACAACAGCTCAATAGGGTTGAGATCCAGTGACTGTGCTGGCCACTCCATTATAGACAGAATACCAGCTGACTGCTTCTTCCCTAAATAGTTATTGCATAGTTTGGAGCTGTGCTTTGGGTCATTGTCCTGTTGTAGGAGGAAATTGGCTCCAATCAAGCGCCATCCACAGGGTATGGCATGGCGTTGCAAAATGGAGTGATAGCCTTCCTTCTTCAAGATCTCTTTTACCCTCTACAAATCTCCCACTTTACCACCACCAAAGCACCCCCAGACCATTACATTGCCTCCACCATGCTTGACAGATAGCATCAAGCACTCCTCCAGCATATTTTCATTTGGTCTGCGTCTCACAAATGTTGTTCTTTGTGATCCGAACACCTCAAACTTCAATTCGTCTGTCCATAACACTTTTTTCCAATCTTACTCTGTCCAGTGTCTGTGTTCTTTTGGCCATCTTAATCTTTTCTTTTTATTGGCCAGTCTGAGATATGGCTTTTTCTTTGAAACTCTGCCTAGAAGGTCAGCATCCCGGAGTCGCCTCTTCACTGTTGACGTTGAGACTGGTGTTTTGCGGGTACTATTTAATGAAGCTGCCAGTTGTGGACCTGTGAGGCATCTGTTTCTCAAACTAGACACTCTAATGTATTTGTCCTCTTGCTCAGTTGTGCACCGGGGCCTCCCACTCCTCTTTATATTCTGGTTAGAGCCAGTTTGCGCTGTTCTGTGAAGGGAGTAGTACACAGCGTTGTACGAGATCTTCAGTTTCTTGGCAATTTCTCGCATGGGATAGCCTTCATTTATCAGAACAAGAATAGACTGACGAGTTTCAGAAAAAAGTTATTTGTTTCTCGCCATTTTGAGCCTGTAATCGAACCCACAATTGCTGATGCTCCAGATATTCAACTAGTCTCAAGAAGGCCAGTTTTATTGCTTCTTTAATCAGCACAACAGTTTTCAGCTGTGCTAACATAATTGCAAAAGGGTTTTCTAATGATCAATTAGCCTTTTAAAATGATAAACTTGGATTAGCAAACAATGTGCAATAGGAACACAAGACTGATGGTTGCTGATAATGGGCCTCTGTACGCCTATGTAGATATTCCATAAAAAGTCAGCCATTTCCAGCTACAATAGCCATTAACAATATCTACACTGTATTTCTGATCAATTTGATGTTATTTTAATTGACAAAAAAATTGCTTATCTTTCGAAAACAAGGACATTTCTAATTGACCCCAAACTTTTGAACGTAGTGTATATTTCTCTCTTGCTTCTCCTTCATTTTGGAAGAAATTAATTTGTGAACTTGTTCAACTATTGTCTTTCTCGCTCTTTGAGTCAACTATTCACCACGTTTTATGCACTGCAGTGCTAGCTAGCAGTATCTTAAGCTTTCAATACTAGATTAATTCTCTGATCCTTTGATTGGGTGGACTACATGTCAGCTCTGATAGGTTGGAGGACATCCTCCGGAAGCTGTCATAATTACTGTGGTAGTCTATGGAAGGGGGTGAGAAATATGAGCCTCCTAGGTTTTGTATTGAAGTCAATGTACCCAGAGGAGGACGGAAGCTAGCTGTCCTCTGGCTACACCATGGTGCTACCCTACAGAGTGATGTTGAGGCTACTGTAGACCTTTGCAAAATAGTGTTTTTTAATCAATTATTTGGTGACGTGATAATATTTAGTAACTTTTTTAGTGTTTTACCATTTATTTTTATGAAAGTCACTGAGGAGGATGGTCCTCCCCTTCCTCCTCTGAGGAGCCGCCACTGTATTTGGGGGCCCCCAAAGCTTGTGGGCCCCCGCCTTGCGGGGGCTGCAGGGGTGTGTGCTACGCCAGTGTAAAGTAACAACATGATACTGTATCATCATATGAATATCCTGGTCCCAGGTCTGTTTGTGCTGTATGGCCAACTCCTATGCCGTCGCTAATAAAGAAGGATGTTGGGGTCCCTTTGAATCACACACTACAAAAAAGAAAGGGAAAACACTGTGCACAGCAGTACGTCTAGTTCGAGGTGCTGGTTTGGCAGGAACAACTAGTATTCAAACATTGTTTGATATTAAAAAACGAGTTTTCGCAGGAACAACTAGCCTAGTATTAAAAAACAAGAGACCAAACGCTAGAAAAGACAGGTGACCCGACCTTGACTTTAGTTCTATTTACATACATTTTTATTTTGCAGCGCAGCCGTAATAAACACAGAAATAAATTAAAGTCAAGGTTTGTCGCCTGTCTTTTTAAAGGGGAAATCTGCAGTTGCTATACATTTTTACCTAAAATTGATATGTACCCATTGATTCTTGAAGAATATAACTTATAAATGACTCATGAGCTTAGTTCAACTGTTGTACCCCATCAGAACCCCAGAAATAAACTTGTTTTACTCCGCTGTAAGTAAACAAAGTAACTGTAAACTAACGCTGTATATAGCCTCAAAACATGGTTACAAATATAATGTTGATAACATGGATGGTCAGTCCTTGCATCCATAGCCCTGTCTATGAATTTGATAGTGGTTTTTAAAAATTCTGCCTCATCCCTCAGCTTTGTCGGGGAGAATGCTTTGTTATTGTTTCCACTGCGGATTGCCCTTTAAGTGTTTGGTTTTTACACTTGTTTTTGAGTACTTATCGCACACTGTTGCGAACCCTTATTACGTACACTTATTGCACACCAGTGGTCTGGATGGCCAAGATGAAATGTCTCCAAACATTTGACTGTTTGTGTAACTACATCTGAGTAAATGTTCTTGAGAGCTTGACCTAACTATTGTAATTTAATAGCAGTAACTGAAGCAATGCCAAAAGGTGTCCATTGTTCAGAGTCCTCACCTGACCTAGCAGGACACTGACTGCTGACTATTGCCTTTCCCCCAGCCTGGCCCTTTGTGTTTCCAATGGCTGTGATCACTGTCTCACACAGACACACTATCACAAAGCTCACTCTACAGATCCTCATCTCTCAGTGTAAAATGTAGGGGAGGGTAGCGCTGAATCAGGACGAGTGGTGTATTTGTACTCGTAACATACACCACTGTAGAAGGAGGATTCCTTGTAACTTTGCATGTGTTATCATTCAAACTGATAAAGGATGACCCACACTTCTCTTTGTAGTCATAATGAGATTCAGGTTTTGTCTCACTGGCTTAATTAAGTAGCCTGGTCCCAGATCTGATTGTGCTGTCTTGTCAGCTCCCATGGTCATGAATTGACATGGCTCCTTTTAACTGTCCCCACTCCACACCAATTCCCTACCCAGGAGGTACAGCGTGTGTGCTGAGCGGTCAGCCCCTGGACACAGCCAAGGTGAAGATGCAGACCTTCCCCTCCATGTACCGAGGCTTCATCCACTGCTTCTCCTCCACATACAAGTAAGTAAGTAAGTAAGTAAGTAAGTAAGTAAGTAGCCTTGTCTGAGCCAGAATGTCCCAAAGGGCAGGAGCCTATCTCCTGTTTCTCTAGCGTGAGGCAGCTTGATGTGCAAGTACACCCCCTGGACAGGACGCTAGTCTATCACAGGTCCACGTACAAGTAGATTCAGAAAGTATTCAGACCCCTTGACTTTTACTGCCTTATTCTAAAATGGATTAAATAGTTTTTTCCCCTCATCAATCTACACACAATACCCCATAATGACAAAGCAAAAACAGTTTTTTAGAAATTGCAAATAAAATACTGATATGACATTTACATAATTATTCAGACCCTTTACTCAGTACTTTGTTGAAGCAGCTTTGGCAGCAATTACAGCCTCAAGTCTTCTTGGGTATGACGCTACAAGCTTGGCACACCTGTATTTGGGGAGTTTCGCCCATTCTTCTCTGCAGATCCTCTGAAGCTCTGTCCGTTTGGCTGGGGAGCGTCGCTGCACAGCTATTTTCAGGTCTCTCCAGAGATGTTCGATTGGGTTTAAGTCCGGGCTCTGGCTGGGCCACTCAAGGACATTCACGGACTTGTCCGGAAGTCACTCCTGCATTGTCTTGGCTGTGGGTTGTTGTCCTTTTGGAAGGTGAACCTTCGCCCCAGTCAGATCCTGAGCGCTCTGGAGCAGGTTTTCATCAAGGATCTCTCTGTACTTTGCTCCGTTCATCTTTCCCTCTATCCTGACTAGTCTCCCAGTCCCTGCCACTGAAAAACATCCCCACAGCATGATGCTGCCACCACCATGCTTCAATGTAGGGATGGTGCCAGGTTTCTTCTAGACGTGACGCTTGGCATTCAGGCCAAAGAGTTCAATCTTGGTTTCATCAGACCAGAGAATCTTGTTTCTCATGGTCTGAGAGTCCTTTAGATGCCTTTTGGCACATTCCAAGCAGGCTGTCATGTGCCATTTACTGAGGAGTGGCTTCCGTCTGCCCACTACCGTAAAGGCCTGATTGGTGGAGTGCTGCAGAAATGGTTGTCTTTCAGGAAGGTTCTCCCATCTCCACAGAGGAACTCTAGAGCTCTGTCAGAGTGACCAAGGCCCTTCTCCCCCGATTGCTCAGTTTGGCCGGGTGGCCAGCTCTAAGAAGATCCTTGGTGGTTCTACACTTCTTCAATTTAAGAATGATGGAGGCCACTGTGTTATTGGGGATCTTCAATGCCGCAGAAATGTTTTGGTACCCTTCCCCAGATCTGTGCCTCGACACAATCCTGTCTCGGAGCTCTACGGACAATTCCTTCGACCTCATGGCTTGGTTTTTGCTCTGACATGAACTGTCAACTGTGGGACCTTATATAGACAGGCGTGTGCCTTTCCAAATCATGTCCAATCAATTGAATTTACCACAAGTGGACTCCAATCAAGTTGTAGAAACATCTCAAGGATGATCAATGGAAACAGGATGAACCTGAGCTCAATTTCGAGTCTCATAGCAAAGGGTCTGAATACTTATTTAAATAAGGTATTTCTGTTTTTTATTTTTAATACATTTGCAAACATTTCTGAAAACCTGTTTTCGCTTTGTCATTATGGGGTATTGTGTGTAGATTGATGAGACAAATAAATAATTGAATCAATTTTAGAATAAGGCAGTAATGTAACATTTGTAAAAAGTCAAGGGGTCTGAATACTTTCCGAATGCACTGTATATTGATGATGTAATGTATTATGACTAATATGGATGATATTAAGTATTTTCACTGCCTATGGTTGTTTATAGTGTTGTAAATTTTTCTAATATTATAAACTACTCTAAACGCTACAGACAGGTGGGTCTCCGAGGGCTCTACCAGGGTACCAGCCCAGCCCTGATGGCCAACATCGCTGAGAATTCTGTCCTCTTCATGAGCTACGGATTCTGTCAGGAGGTGGTCCGCACAATGGCAGGACTGGGAACTGAGGCGCCACTCAGGTAAGGAGAGATGCTGGGATGGTTGTCTGTACATCTTTTCTCTTTACACCAAGCTTTGTACCATTCTGTAGTCTAACTATTTTACATCAGGTGGATATTGTGCATCAGCCATGCATGTAGGCCTAATTAATGCTCACTCTCTTTCAGTATTAGGCATACCATCTCATACTGTATGTTCTCTCTTTCTCTATCTGTCGTTGTCTTTCAGTGACATGCAAAAAGCGTGTGCTGGGTCGGTAGCATCCATCTTCTCCTCTCTGGTCCTCTGCCCCACTGAGCTGGTCAAGTGTCGTCTTCAAGCCATGTACGAGATGGAAGCGTCGGGCAAAATCGCAAAGGGCCAAAAGTGAGTGTTTTAAAGGCCCAGTGCAGTCAACATTTTTCCTGTGTTTTGTGTCATATTGTACAACAGCTGATGAAACTAACACTGTAAAAGTGTAAAAAAAAATGTGATCAGTGTTATATCCTGATAGTTGCTGGTTGAAAATACAATCTACACAGGACCTTCTAATCAGCAGATTTTGCACGAGTGGAGCTTCGGCAGGTGGTAAATTAGTTACAGTGAGGGAAAAAAGTATTTGATCCCCTGCTGATTTTGTACGTTTGCCCACTGGCAAAGAAATTATCAGTCTATAATTTTAATGGTAGGTTTATTTGAACAGTGAGAGACAGAATAACAACAAAAAAATCCAGAAAAACGCATGTAAAAAATGTTATTGATTTGCATTTTAATGAGGGAAATAAGTATTTGACCCCTCTGCAAAACATGACTTAGTACTTGGTGACAAAACCCTTGTTGGCAATCACAGAGGTCAGACGTTTCTTGTAGTTGGCCACCAGGTTTGCACACATCTCAGGAGGATTTTGTCCCACTCCTCTTTGCAGATATTCTCCAAGTCATTAAGGTTTCGAGGCTGACGTTTGGCAACTCGAACCTTCAGCTCCCTCCACAGATTTTCTATGGGATTAAGATCTGGAGACTGGCTAGGCCACTCCAGGACCTTAATGTGCTTCTTCTTGAGCCACTCCTTTGTTGCCTTGGCCGTGTGTTTTGGGTCATTGTCATGCTGGAATACCCATCCACGACCCATTTTCAATGCCCTGGCTGAGGGAAGGAGGTTCTCACCCAAGATTTGACGGTACATGGCCCCGTCCATCGTCCCTTTGATGCGGTGAAGTTGTCCTGTCCCCTTAGCAGAAAAACACCCCCAAAGCATAATGTTTCCACCTCCATGTTTGACGGTGGGGATGGTATCTTGGGGTCATAGGCAGCATTCCTCCTCCTCCAAACACGGCGAGTTGAGTTGATGCCAAAGAGCTCGATTTTGGTCTCATCTGACCACAACACTTTCACCCAGTTCTCCTCTGAATCATTCAGATGTTCATTGGCAAACTTCAGACGGGCATGTATATGTGCTTTCTTGAGCAGGGGGACCTTGTGGGCGCTGCAGGATTTCAGTCCTTCACGGCGTAGTGTGTTACCAATTGTTTTCTTGGTGACTATGGTCCCAGCTGCCTTGAGATCATTGACAAGATCCTCCCGTGTAGTTCTGGGCTGATTCCTCACCGTTCTCATGATCATTGCAACTCCACGAGGTGAGATCTTGCATGGAGCCCCAGGCCAAGGAATATTGACAGTTCTTTTGTGTTTCTTCCATTTGCGAATAATCGCACCAACTGTTGTCACCTTCTCACCAAGCTGCTTGGCGATGGTCTTGTAGCCTTTCCAGCCTTGTGTAGGTCTACAATCTTGTCCCTGACATCCTTGGAGAGCTCTTTGGTCTTGGCCATGGTGGAGAGTTTGGAATCTGATTGATTGATTGCTTCTGTGGACAGGTGTCTTTTTTACAGGTAACAAGCTGAGATTAGGAGCACTCCCTTTAAGAGTGTGCTCCTAATCTCAGCTCGTTACCTGTCTAAAAGACACCTGGGTGCCAGAAATCTTGCTGATTGAGAGGGGGTCAAATACTTATTTCCCTCATTAAAATGCAAATTAATTTATAACTACAAGAAACGTCTGACCTCTGTGATTGCCAACAAGGGTTTTGCCACCAAGTACTAAGTCATGTTTTGCAGAGGGGTCAAATACTTATTTCCCTCATTAAAATGCAAATCAATTTATAACATTTTTGACATGCGTTTTTCTGGATTTTTTTGTTGTTATTCTGTCTCGCACTGTTCAAATAAACCTACCATTTAAAATTATAAACTGATCATTTCTTTGTCAGTGGGCAAACGTACAAAATCAGCAGGGGATCAAATACTTTTTTCCCTCACTGTAATAGACCAATAACAAAGAGTTCCAAACCTCTGCCAATGGGCGAGATCGTTTTGCATCACCTGGTGCCTCGGGAGGGCAGGGTTTGCACATTTTAGACCTTTCCATTGGTCCTAAAGTGAAATCTCCACCCACTCTGGGCAGCGAGCCATGCAAAACGAACTCGCTCAATAACAGCTAGTTTTTAGTTTTCCCCTCCCGCTCAGACCACTCCTAGGCAGTCCTAGCAAAATTCTTGCTTGAGTTTTTTTTGGGGGGGACCATATTAATGGGGAAACTATTACAGTAAGGTACTTAATTGTTAGCCAGAAATTATTTTATATTGATATAAAAACGACCGCATTGGCCTTTTTAAGAAGGATATTTACTTAATTTTAATTTTTACTTACAATTTTTAACTGAAGTTTTGCTATTTTAAAGCCTTTATTTTTTCACTGTTTTGTTTAGAGGGCTTACTGGTTGTGTAAACTATTCTTACAAAATGGCCATGTTTTGATTCTCATATTACCTTTTATAAAAGAGAGCTTTTCTACCTCTGAACTTGATGAGTGGTCCGGTGTGGCTGAGTTGGTAAAAGCTTAGCCCTAATAATGCCAAGGTTGTTGGTTCAATTCCCACAGGGATCACACACATTTAAGCACTCACTGTTCTGTAAATCCCTTTGCATAAAAGCGACTACTAACTGGCATATACAAAGTGTATAAACTACCCATTTTCTCTCTCTCTCTCTCTCTCTCTCTCTCTCTGTCTCTCTCTGTCTCTCTGTCTCTCTCTCTCTGTCTCTGTCTCTCTGTCTCTGTCTCTCTCTGTCTCTGTCTCTCTCTCTCTCTCTCTCTCTCTCTCTCTCTCTCTCTCTCTCTGTCTCTCTGTCTCTGTCTCTGTCTCTGTCTCTCTCTCTCTCTCTGTCTCCAGCACAGTGTGGTCGGTGGCGAAGTCGGTGATGAAGCAAAATGGTCCTACAGGGTTTTTCACAGGCCTGACCACAACCATCGCCAGAGAGGTGCCTGGGTACTTCTGCTTCTTCGGGGCCTACGAGCTCTGCCGAACCACCTTTGCTGACCACATGAAGTGCAGCAAGGAAGACATAGGTACTGTAGTATTACTTAACTATTAAGGGGCGGCAAGTAGCCTAGAGGTTGGAGAGGCAGGCCATAGTCCCGGAGGGGCCTTCCGGAGGGGATGGGATAAAGGAGAATGCAGTGTTCTTATTCTTCATTACTACAGTTGTGTCTCAGACCACATGTTCACCTCTGTTATGGAGAGTGAGCTGTAAATACAGCCACTACTCAGTACGTTGTAGATTAGTAGCTTTTAAAGATTAATTGTGTAGCAATATGCTTGATTGGGATTCCTTTGGGGATTATGCCGGAATTGGCCAATGTAAAGCCAATCGCCTTTTGCGCCAAACTCTCTTTCCAAAACATTCAACCTAATTTGTTTAGTTTGTTGGAAAACAAAAACACACTGTGCTTATGGCTGTGTTCCTGATGACTTGTGGTTATGTGTATGTTACAGGAGTGGCCCCTATTGTGTTCAGTGGGGGATTCGGGGGTGCGTGCCTGTGGCTGGTGGTCTACCCCTTTGATTGTGTCAAGTCTCGCATCCAGGTCATGTCAATGATGGGGCGCCAGGAAGGCTTCTTCAAGACCATGATGACTATCGTGAGGATGGAAGGTAAGCACTGTGTGGGATGTTTTATGGCTTTGAGCAACATTTTTTATTTTTAAACATGAATTGTAAAGACATTCCTATCTTTATGACATGCAAACATTTATAGATAATTGATGTAAATCCCACCCCAAAAAATTGATTGAGATGCAGATGCATTATTTGTTCTCGCTGCATGTGATGTGTTTGTGGGTGAGCAGTACCAGAGCAGTTGTAGAGCGATCGACAAAGCCAACATTCTGACTTTGTAAAAATCCGCTCTGTGCTTCAAGCGAGATGCATCACTCCTCTTACATGCTTTGTTGAGGACAGTAGTAAATATGATCCTTTCTTGTATTTCCCTTTTGTTTAGGTGTAAGGGCACTCTATTCTGGTTTGACCCCCACCATGATCCGCACGTTCCCCGCCAACGGAGCCCTGTTCCTGGGGTATGAGGCCAGCCGTAAGTTCATGATGAAACAGTTTGACAGCTGACCTGGTCCTCCTCCGACAACGATGTCCCCCATCTCTTTTTTTGCCTTGTCATTTGTTCTGGTTAACCCTACTACGTTGTGTCGTTAACCTCTTACAACACTCCATTTCAACACTTCAAACTGGTTGAAATGATCTGATTTCAACGAGTTCTGGTTGTAAACGGGTTGAAATTACGTCATTTGCCCGCTGGGTTGGGCTTGGAACCCACACTCCTCAGAGTGAAGCATTGTGGCTAATAATATGTTTTTAGGTACTTGATTTAAATGTGAATATACACTGAGTGTACAAAACATTAGGAACCTATTTGCCCTCAGAACAGCCTCAATTCATCAGGGAATGGACTCTACAAGGTGTCAAAAGCGTTCCACAGGGATGCTGGCCCATGTTGACTCCAATGCTTCCCACAGTTGTGTCGAGTTGGCTGGATGTCCTTTGGGTGGTGGACCATTCTTGATACACACAGGAAACTGTTGAGCGTGGAAAAACCCAGCAGCGTTGCAGTCCTTGACACAAACCGGTGCGCCTGGCACCTGCTACAGTACCATACCCCGTTCAAAGGCACTTAAATCTTCTGTCTTGCCCATTCACCCTCTGAATGGCACACATACACAATCCATGTCTCTATTGTCTCAAGGCTTAAAAACCCTTCTTTAACCTGTCTCCTCCCCTTCATCTACACTGATTTTAAAGTAGATTTAATCGGTGACATCAATAAGGGATCATTGCTTTCAACTGGATTCACCTGGTCAGTCTGTCATGGACCAAATGTTTTGTACACTCGGTGTAAGGTTGATATAATGGGTGCTTTCCCAAAATGCTTCCTCAGTGAGACCTGACTTGAAACGGGATCAAGGTATGGAAGTGGAAAATTAGTGTTTTAAATATAATTTTATAGTATTCATAAAATACATGTTATTTTATAAAGCCCTTTTTACATTAGCAGTTGTCTTTTGTACATCAGCAGTTGTCTTTTGTACATCAGAACAGAATCTCAGAATAGTCGTAATCTATATCTTAATCTGTGAGAAGGGTATACTGCAAAGCAGAATCAAGGAGTTAGACAGCGAACTTGGTTATATATTCTGAAAAAAACGTTTTATATTTTAAAAAGGTAAGCTTGAAGTGGGCATGGTAATATTGACTCCTCAAACAAAAACGCATATCTAAGTTTAGCTTTCTTAATGAACCAGAAAATGATCAGTTATTCCTGGCTGTTCTGTTGTGGTCTTGTGTCTGTCTACCGCAGCAGAGTTATGCATATACACAGCCAACCATTATTTCCCTCATATATTCACAACACTCCACTGGAGTGGACTTTACCTGAGGGGTATACTACAAAGCAGGCTCAATGGGTTAGCCAGCTAGCTTTGATAAACAACCAGAAATAACTATTGATTTTCTGATTCATTAAGAAAGATAGATATGTGTTTTTGGTTGTTGAGTCAATTAGACCATTCCCATTTCAAGCTTATCCTTCAAAAATAAAATACAAAGTTATTTCAGAATATTTAGGCAAGTTAGCTGGGTAACTCATTGATTCTGCTTTGTAGTACACCCCTCTGGCTTACTTGTCATATTGCTGGTACACAATTGAGAAAAACACTCAGTAATAGCACTGTATTTTCCAGCCATTCCAAGAAAACAACACTCTGTATTCAAACACATTTTAATACTGCTGCCAGATTGTCTAGGATTGCCTTTATGCCAAGTTCCCTGAACTATAACTCCATTAACTTAGATGTTCAGTGCTTTTCTGGCCTTTTTTTAGTAATTAATATTGGTAACACTTAACATTCAGTTGCTCTTATACCTGTGTAATAATGCTGTAATTATTATAGTAACAACATTGTACTAACATGTTGTACTTCAGGAACTGCGTTATAATTGATTTGAGCAGTTTTGTAATTAATAGGGGAGGAATTGGGGGTGAAGTGTTACCTTATTATTGTTTGTCTATTAACCACTATTCTTCACCTTTTTTGTCATGTACTGTAACGTTATATTGTGATGTGCAAGACCATGAAATTCTCAGCTTCAAGGAACACAGGCTAAGTATCATATCCAAGCTGCCATTTGCACAATGTGTAATGCTCAGCAGGAGGTATCATTCCGTTGTCAAATATTCCTTAAAAACAAGCCTTTAACTTAAGACATTTTACATATGTGATATTTATTTCAAATAAAGATGCATATTCTTTTAATCATGTTCAGGGAATTATCAGGACCGAGTAGCCTATTACACTATCCTACTGTTTAGAGTACAATAATACTATATAGAGTACAATAATACTGTATAGAGTAAAGAATACTATTAACTGTATATGTTGGGAAAAATTGTTTTTGTATTGTAATTACATGACTTGCATTAAAAGTGTCACTGGAGGACAAAGATGTGGGACATCTCTTGTGTTGTGTTCAGCACTTCACACCCCTTGACTTTTTCCACATTTTGTTGTGATACAGCCTGAATTTAAAATGGATTAAATTTAGATTTTTTTTTGTCACTGGCCTGTGCTCAATACTCCATAATGTCAAAGTGGAATTATGTTTTTCAATTTTTTTGAGTCATTAAGTATTCAACCCCTTTTGTTATGGCAAGCCTAAATAAGTTCAGGAGTAAACATTTTCTTAACAAGTCACATAAGTTGAATGGACTCACTCAGTGTGCAATAACAGTGTTTAACATGATTTTTGAATGACTACCTCATCTCTGTACCCCACACATACAATTATTTGTAAGTTCCCTCAGTCGAGCAGTGAATTTCAAACACAGATTCAACCACAAAGACCAGGGAGGTTTTCCAATGCCTCGCAAAGAAGGGCATCTATTGGTAGATAAAAAATAAAAAATCAGACATTAAATATCCATTTACATTTACATTTAAGCATGGTGATGTTATTAATTACGCTTAGGAAGGATGCCTGTATCTTTATAGTGACTGGGTGTATTGCTACACCATTCAAACTCAGTTGCCAGAGAGGAAGGAAACTGCTCAGGGATTTCACCATAAGGCTAATGCTTTAGGACACTTTCACATGTACCCGGATCCTGTAGCGTTTGGTGCCCTGATCTGTGCTATAAAGCATGTGTGAAACGCAAATGAACCCTGGCTGAAACGAATCCTGAACCTGCGTCAGTAGTGGGTCCAAGATCCGGGACCAGAGTACCAGGTATTGTGACGCAGCAGTGTGAGTCGTGTGGACCTTTTTGGCCGTTGCAAACAAGCTAACTCGTTGATGTCATGTAAAGTACGCGTCTTGCTAATCGCACCCTAAAAAGGTTGTTTTCAGGTTTTGTGGAAGCATAACGTATTCTGTAGAATTCTCACAAATGCTCCAGGAAACCAAACCAGGGTGCCGAATTTCATATGTGAAAACGCCCTAAAACAGTTAGAGTTGAATGGCTGTAATAGGACAATACTAACCTAACTAACAGAGTGAAAAGAAGGAAGTCTGTACAGAATAAAAAATATTCCAAAACATGCACCTTGTTTGCGATAAGGCCCTAAAGTAAAACTGCAAAAATATGACAAAGGATTGTCCTGAATACAAAGCATTATGTTTGGAAGTTTATATACACTTAGGTTGGAGTCATTAAAACTCGGTTTTCAACCACTCCACAAATTTCTTGTTAAACTATAGTTTTGGCAAGTCGGTTAGGACATCTACTGCATGACACGTAATTTTTCCAACAATTGTTTACAGACAGATTATTTCACTTATAATTCACTGTATCACAATTCCAGTGGGTCAGAAGTTTACATACAGTAAGTTGACTGTGCCTTTAAACAGCTTGGAAAATTCCAGAAAATGATGTCATAGCTTTAGAAGCTTCTGATAGGCTAATTGACATCATTTGAGTCAATTGGAGGTGTACCTGTGGATGTATTTCAAGGCCTACCTTCAAACTCAGTGCCTCTTTGCTTGACATCATGGGAAAATCAAAAGAAATCAGCCAAGACCTCAGAAAAAAATTGTAGACCTCCACAAGTCTGGTTCATCCTTGGGAGCAATTTCCAAATGCCTGAAGGTACCACGTTCATCTGTACAAACAATAGTACGCAAGTATAAACACCATGGGACCACACAGCCGTCATACCGCTCAGGAAGGAGACGCGTTCTGTCTCCTAGAGATGAACATACTTTGGTGCGAAAAGTGCAAATCAATCCCAGAAACAGCAAAGGACCTTGTGAAGATGCTGGAGGAAACAGGTACAAAAGTATCTATATCCACAGTAAAGCAAGTCCTATATCGACATAACTTGAAAGGCCGCTCAGCAAGGAAGAAGCCACTGCTCCAAAACCGCCATAAAAAAGACAGACTACGGTTTGCAGTTGCACATGGGGACAAAAATTGTACTTTTTGGGAGAAATGTCCTCTGGTCTGATGAAACAAAACTAAAACTGTTTGGCCATAATTACCATCGTTATGTTTGGAGGAAAAAGGGGAAGGCTTGCAAGCCGAAGAACACCATACCAACCGTGAAGCACGGGGGTGGCAGCATCATGCTGTGGGGGTGCTTTGCTGCAGGAGGGACTGGTGCACTTCACAAAATAGATGGCATCATGAGGAAGGAGAATTATGTGGATATATTGAAGCAACATCTCAAGACATCAGTCAGGAAGTTAAAGCTTGGTCCCAAATGGGTCTTCCAAATGGACAATGACCCCAAGCATACTTCCAAAGATGTGGCAAAATGGCTCAAGGACAACAAAGTCAAAGTATTGGAGTGGCCATCACAAAGCCCTGATCTCAATCCTATAGGACATTTGTGGGCAGAACTGAAAAAGTGTGTGCGAGCAAGGAGGCCTACAAACCTGACTCAGTTAAACCAGCTCTGTCAGGAGGAATGGGCCAAAATTCACCCATCTTATTGTGGGAAGCTTGTGGAAGGCTACCCGACACGTTTGACCCAAGTTAAAAACAATTTTAAAGGCAATGCTACCAAATACTAATTGAGTGTATGTAAACTTCTGACCCACTGGGAATGTGATGAAAGAAATAAAAGCTGAAATAAATAATTCTCTCTACTATTATTCTGATATTTCACATTCTTAAAATAAAGTGGTGATCCTAACTGACCTAAGGCAGGGACTTTTTACTAGGATTAAATGTCAGGAATTGTGAAAAACTGAGTTTAAATGTATTTGGCTAAGGTGTATGTAAACTTCCGACTTCAACTGTAGCTGTATCGCTGGCAAAGGTGATTCTAACATGTATTGACTCAGTGGGTTGAATACTTATCTAATCAACATATATTAGTGTTTTATTTTTCATAAATGTTTTACAAATTTTAGAATTTTTATTCCACTTTGCCATTATAGAGTATTTTGGGTAGATTTTTTTACTAAAAATGATAATTAAATCAATTTGAATCCCACTTTGTAACACAAAATGTGGACAAAGGGGTGTGAATACTTTCTGAAGGCACTATATAATGCATTAATTAATGTCTCTTGTAATGGAGAATAGACAATCATTAACCATTACTTAGTAATGGACTCAATTAGTAGAAATCATAAATGTATCTCACTTATTTTCAACACATAGTGTCTATGTATCAATACAATGGAAAAGAGATCACAAATAGCCTTAAAGAATAACAAATATTTCATTTTATTTCAGAAAATGTATACAATGCGTGTATACAATGAACACAAATAATTGATTTTGTATATTATATGCGGCACAACTGAATAGCAATTGCATGTCACTGAAGAGTTTACTGAAAAATTCTGAAATGACACCAATCCATGTTTCGGACAAAGCGTTAATTTCTGTTTAAAACACATTTAAACACATTCTACATTTGCATCTAACTATACCCACAAATGATATGCGGTTGTCTTACCTACCTATAATAATAATAATAAAAAATATAATAATATGCCATTTAGCAGACGCTTTTATCCAAAGCGACTTACAGTCATGTGTGCATACATTTAATACATTTAACAGTTAATTGAATTCACTAACTGTAAGTCACTCTGAATAAGAGCGTCTGCTAAATGACTAAAATGAACATTTAGAAGGTATATCACATTGCAAACATTCAAATAAGTGAGAATGGTGTGCATCGCATTGCAAACATATTGAAGCCAATTTCTTTCTTGGTCCACTTAGAGGCACCAGTCAATCATCATGGATTGAGTGTAGAATAGGAGTCTTCCTTCCATTAAACAACCTGGTTGGGACAAGATTAACAGGGAGAACAATTTAATAAGGAAACTTTCCCCACAGTGAAGGACTATTTAGAAGATGAATCAGCTCTCGAGAAGACAATACTATAGGAGTTAATGGGTCTCCTTTTCAAACCAAGCCATTAACCTTTCAGCAGCGTAGGCTATAGCTGATACATTTTAAGGATTTACAACACAACAATTAAATTACATTAAAAAAAATGTATTTAATTGAAGAAATACTTCTATTAAATTCAATGACAACGGTCTCACAAACAGTCTCCATACCCCTTTGTTGGTGCAGGTTCCACAGAGGCATCCGAAGAGCCCGTTGATCATCTGGCTGCAACAGAGCACCAGCTGCAGAGAGCTGGTCACCAGCAGGATGGCGAACAGCCCAATGTTAAACTCCACCACGTTGTTAGGCGCTGTGCACAAGCCCCACAGATCACGGTTGTTCAGGTAACTGTTCTCTCTGATGGGGAAAGAGGGAGCGGGTTGTAATTCATTACAAGCATAGTGGTGGTGGTGTGTGCGTGTGTGTGTGCATGTGTACGTGCATGAGTGTGTGTTTGTGATCTGTGAAGTCTCTAACCTGTCTTTGAAGGGAGTCATCCAGACCAGCAACAACTCTACAGTAGGGCCCGTTAATTAGGCCAAGCATTGCCACTATAAAACTGTAGAGGGCGCCAGCAACCCCGACCGCAGCAAAGGCAATGGAGAGGAACATCTGTGGGAACAAGATTAGTTTAGTTTGGTTTTAATTTACTGGTCTTTCAGCATTATTACAGGTTCTTTAAAAAAAGTTAGCATTAAAAAACACTGAATTACAATAACAAATAATGAATATGAAATAAATAAGACAATTTCAAAGTGCTGAAAATGATGATGACTATCTCATTTAGTATTCCCTACATTCTTTGCATCCTATCTCCTTGTCCTTCTCAACTGTATTGGAGCAGAAGGCTCAAGAAACCAATGCTTTTCGAAAAAGAGGAGGAGAGAGAAAGCAAGCAATCAAGGAAAGATTAACTGAGAAAGAGACCAAAAGGTCAATTAAGTCACATAAAATGCAAATATCTTGTCATAACAACATTGAGTATCTACATCTATAACATGATTCCCCTTTGTCTGACCACTTCGAGACAATTTATTCACCAGCTTCCCCTCTGAGAATTGCAATGCAATACAGAACCTGCTGTTTTTATTATCCTGTTTTTCCATTGTCTTTACAATCAATTTTGGGTTGGTCAAAGTCATTATTATCATTATAATCAGCCCTGGTGAGAGGTGAGCATGTCTTGTTGGTATGATCTTTGTGCCTCTGTAACTTTCTCACTCATCTATATTTACGATTCATTCATGATTATCCGTAACCATGGTAGCATCCACCTTAATGTAGACGTGTTCAGAAACATTCTACTCTTATTTGCAATAAAAGTAACTCAAAAATTACACAATGCATTATTTACCATTCATTTTTGTTGGGCACAACACAATCCGAAACACAACCCAAACAAACTGCAAATGCATCCAACAAGTTTGTAGAGTCACAAGCTTGGCGAAGTCATTGCGTGCTAGGAATATGGGACCAAATACTAAACTTTTGACTAAATGTAATACACTATACGTGAATTTGTTCAAATAGGGGGACTAGATACATAAAGTGCTTTCGTTTCTAAATGGTAAAACAGATACGTATGAAAATACCCTCAAATAAAAGTTGACATTCTGTACTGTTGCTGCATATGAAACATTTGATCTCAAATCCAAAATGCTGGAGTATAGAGCCAAACTAATAATTTTAGCTTCACTGTCCAAATAAATACGTTGGGGAGTGTATACAATGTGTTGGCAAATGATTAACGCATGATTCATTTCTTCCTTTCTTTCTCTCTTGCTCTGTCTCTGTATCTCTCTCTCTCTCCCTCTCTCTCTCTCTCTCTCTCTCTTTCTCTCTCTCTGATCCTTTTGTAATCTTTCAAAATTCATCTTTCAGTTCCCTGCTCTTCTTTTTAGAGCTTTCTAGTCTTTTAGAGTTATACAGTATTTATCCTTATAGACTTCTCCAGTGTTTTGTTGTCTGTAAAGAGGACTCACCCCGCAACGATTGGCACAGCAGCCCTGCTGTCCAGTAACATGGATGTAAAATGCTGGTACCAACACCTGGAAAGGGAATGGGCAAGGGAATCAGTACCATGCATGTAACCTGAAGGACTTTTATCCTGGTTAAATAAAGGCTAAATAAATAAAAATCTACATTTGACTAACAACAATTTGCATTTGAAAAAGGCAATACTAGTGGTTGAACGTTTGAATGTTTTTCTTTTTGTGTGTGAATTATTTTGTTGATCTTCTTGTTCTTGAATGAGGCAGTAGTAGGAAGATCCAGCAAATGTGCCGTTTGATAAGGGCTGTGGTGAGCTTCTTGGCAAATAAAGCAGCATGATTCACCAGATTACTCACATATCACACTGTAGTTTGTCCCTAACCATGTAAAGATCTGAAAACTAGTAAAAAACACTAAAACATGCAAACCATATTTGAATCACTGGCCCCCTTAGATAACAAAACTGTGTCAACTCTTGGGTGACTCCCTATTACACATATAGTTGTGAATCATGTGGAACCTAACAAGGGCTTCATCAATACACAAAACAAAATTTAGATGCAATTTCTCTGACATTGTTTCTCATATGAATGTTTTTTGGGGATTTCCCAATGGCTTGCACTTAAAAAAATATCAAATAATTAAATTAAAGACCATTCGTTATTTAAGAAGAAAGAACTTACCATTAGTCCCCCTCCAACCAGTCCTCCCATGTACTTCACCTCTTCTGTGATGTATCCATCTTTGGCGTAACTGGTTTCCCAATCCGGGAAGAACAGTATGATGTTACAGATGATGGAGATGACTGCTAGAGGGTACAGCGTCACCCCAATACACCGGGAGCATTTACCTGTACACATCCTATCTGTCACTTACTGTTCGGCTGGTCTAAGAACTGTGCAGCCAACAGGTTTGAGACCCTTGGATGATGAGAGCCTTGAACGTTCCAAAAGAAAAACTGGGTTATTTCAGTTAGGTATAAAGTTGTAAAACAAAGTCTTATAATTCCACAAAGGGTTTTTTCTGATGTTGATACGCGGGGGGAATAGTTTAAATACTAGGTGGGAGGAGTGGTTTTGTGTGTGAGTAATAGTGTACTGTGAGTCATAGGAAAGCAAAGCCTATATTTGAACGCCTATTCTTCACCCAAGGCAGCTAGGGGACTCTGAACGGCGCCATTGATGTCAAATCGATTATGGAGTAATGATTAACACTAGACGTTGGCATGGTTTCCTTTGGTGATAAACACCTAACCATAGTCAGAAAGGATACCCGAGAAATAACCTAGTAAACCTACAGACTACAGTTGTTTGTCTGTTTAGTATGCCCCCATTGTCACAATATTCTCTAATAAATAAGAGAGGGTCATTGTTTTTGTTTTGTTCTGCTTCTTTCAAATCCTCCAAGCTACACTGAAGGTGTTCCGCCAGTGTGTGTTTGCATTGTCTATCTGAGTTTCTGTGCAGGCCCCACTCCTTGTGAACTTTGGACCGGTAGTGCGTGATGCTATAGATGGGAGGGATACAATAAGTCAGCGATATCAGCAGTAAAACATGAATAAGCGACTGATGAAACATTAATAAGAGACTGTACACTAGCCAGGGTGAGCTAAGAGAATGGAATGTCATTCACAACTTAAAAACATTAGCCGTTTTGAATAGAGTAACTGTAACTTCCAAATGTAGATATTACTTGGAACAGTTGTGTGCACCACTAATCAAATATTTCTCAGTCACATACTCCATGATTTAGTCTGTCATTATAGGATGATGAGCAATGAGCATCCTTTTGATTACAAAAAAAGGAACTGACGAAAACCAAGAGGCCGACATGTAAACTTGAATAAAAATAAGTGATACTAGCAAAAGCAGTGTGCAGGTTTCTCTTTTCTTTGAAGATTACCATGAGTTAAAACCTGTGAGAAGTAAGGGGGATCTTTGCTATTAGCGCAGGTGACAAATCTAGGGAGAGAGAAAGTTTTTGTAATGTTACCTGCAATGTTCCCCAGATGTTTGAGTGTCCAGTTTTCTGTTAGTTAGGGGAACATTCTATGTATGTTAGCAAAAACCTCCTGAGAACCTGTTTAGACTGTTTTGGCATTAGAGTTAGGAGAAGATTCCCTAAATGTCAAACAGAACATACCCAGAATGTGGTTGCCATGTTCTCAAAATATCCAATATTAATGTTCTAGACACGTTTCATTGGAACGTTGCAAGAACATTCCTGTGTCCAGTTTTCTGAGGGTTAGGACAATATTCCATCAACGTCCCACCAAACATACAGTGCATTCGGAAAGTATTCAGACCCCTTGACCTTTTCCACATTTTTTAACTTTACTGCCTTATTGTAAAATTGATTAAATAAAAAAAAATCCTCATCAATCTACACACAATACCCTATAATAACAAAGCAAAAACAGGTTTTTAGAAATGTTTGCAAATGTATTAAAAATAAAAACAGAAATACCTTATTTACATAAGTATTCAGACCCTTTGCTATGAGACTCAAAATTGAGCAATCGGGGGAGAAAGGCCTTGGTCAAGGAGGTGACCAAGAACCAGGTGGTCACTCTGACAGAGCTCCAGAGTTCCTCTGTGGAGATGGGAGAACCTTCCAGAAGGACAACTGTCTCTGCAACACTCCACCAATCAGGCCTTAATGGTAGAGTGGCCAGACGGAAGCCACTCCTCAGTAAAAGGCACATAACAGCCCGCTTGGACTTTGCCAAAAGGCACCTAAAGGACTCTCAGACCATGAGAAACAATATTCTCTGGTCTCATGAAACCAAGATTGAACACTTTGGCCTGAATGCCAAGAATCACGTCTGGAGGAAACCTGGCCCCATCCCTACGTTGAAGCATGGTGGTGGCAGCATCATGCTGTGTGGATGTTTTTCAGCGGCAGGGACTGGGAGACTGGTCAGGATAGAGGGAAAGATGAACGGAGCAAAGTACAGAGAGATCCTTCATGAAAACCCGCTCCAGAGAGCTCAGGACCTCAGACTGGGGCAAAAGTTCACCTTCCAACAGGACAACGACCCTAAGCACACAGCCAAGACAACGCAGGAGTGGCTTCGGGACAAGTCTCTGAATGTCCTTGAGTGGCCCAGCCAGAGCCCGGACCTGAAAATAGCTGTGCAGCGATGCTCCCCATCCAACCTGACAGAGCTTGAGAGGATCTGCAGAGAAGAATGGAGAAACTCCCGAAATACAGGTGTGCCAAGCTTGTAGCATCATACCCAAGAAGACTCGAGGCTGTAATCGCTGCCAAAGGTGCTTCAACAAAGTATTGAGTAAAGGGTCTGAAAACGTATCTAAATGTAATATTTCAGTTTTTTTATTTTTTATACATTTGCACAAAAATCTAAAAACCTGTTTTTGCTTTGTCATTATGGGGTATTGTGTGTTGATTTATGAGGGGGAAAAAACAATTTAATACATTTTTGAATAAGGCTGTAACGTAACAAAATCTGGAAAAAGTCAAGTAGTCTGAATCCTTTCCGAATGCACATGGTTGCCATGTTCTCAGAATATAAGATATTAATGTTCTAGACATGTTTCATGGGAACGTTGCAAGAACATTCCTGTATCCAATAACGTTTAAAGTAACTGTCCAGTGGTTCCAGATTTCTATAAAATATGACCTATAATTACTTAGAAAATGAATGAGATAGTTTTCCTTCCAACATTTTTTTATTAAGCATGTTAAAAAGCAGCTTTTCTGCTTTGTAATGGTGTGGGCGTACCCCAACAACAGATTGTATACCGGTCATTACAAATATTCATGCAAGTAGACCTCTGATTGGCCAGCTCATCCTGCTTTAGACCGCTGATTTGCCATGACATCATACTCTATGAGGAAATAGCAAGCATTTTTTAAATGGTCTGTTTGCGATGTTTGAAGTTGTGTTTTTGAATTGTTTTTTTTTCTCCAATTTATGCTTTGGCCAGAAATACGAGTATAGGATGAGTCAACGACATTATTAAGCTATGAGTTAACAGAATATGAACTTTTAAAGTGAGATTTTCACTGGACAGTTACTTTAAAACATATGCCATTCTGAAGGTTTTGTCTAGTTCCCAGCTTGTTTCGGGGACATCCCAAAATATTTTTTTAGGACCTCGCCTGATGGTCCCAAAGAAACGTTCTCCAGAAGAAAAAAATACGGTTTCTTTACACATCACCCCTCGTTACCATGCCAACCCCATCAAGGGCCTGATTGGTGAACCACTGATCCATTCACAGCTCATTGTCTGTTGGCAAGGTTAGGGACACCCACACACACAAACAGTGCTTTTAACATGCAATGTTTTCAACTTACATATTTGACACACTTGTTCATTTATACAGTAATTAATTTTACAACATGTCGATTTACACTCACAACCACTTGGTTCACGGCATTCCGATCTTCCTGCTACGCCACCATGTCTGTGCCAGTTAACAGTTAATCTGACTATTCTCTCATCATTGATTTGATTGACTTATTTCAGCAATTTTGGGGTTTTCTGTACAGTTGTCTAATGTTGGTGGGGCATACTACTCTGTTTTAATGTTACTCCTTAATCACTATGATAAATAAAATAGTTATTCTTGAGTGTACTTTGAACAGAGCTGAGATTTACTTTGAAATGCAAAGTGAAGCAAATCAGGTGGAATAAGTCGTTGACAGAGACATGGTGGTGTAGCAGGAAGATCGGAATGCCTCAACCAAGAGGTTGCGACTTCAAATCCCAGGTGAGGACATGGGGGGGGGGGGGGGATTCCGACCCGAGTTAAGTGTGCGTAAATGGAACATAATTCCCTTTTTGTGCACTTTTCTCTCTATGCGTATTCTGATCTTGAACTTAAGCATGAGAATAGCATGCTATTCACCTGCTATTCATTTGGGGGCTGATTCCAACTTAGGAAATGTACACCTTTCGCACGCCTTTCGTACACACTTCTCAGTAGTTGGTATTCAGTCTTTCCTTATTCAGTCGCATATCGTGCTCTGCAGGTGTAGCTACTGTACCTTGCGCCCTCTAAATTTCATTCAACCACTGAAAACACTCCCACAGTTTTTATTCAATAGGGTTTTCAGTACATTTACACTATATGTATATAGAAAAGTCTGTGGACACCCCTTCAAATGAGTGGATTTGGCTATTTCAGCCACACCCGTTGCTGACAGGTGTATAAAATCGAGCACACCACCATGCAATCTCCATAGACAAACATTGGCAGTATAATGGCCTTACTGAAGAGCTCAGTGACTTTCAACGTGGCACAGTCATAGGATGCCACCTTTCCAACAAGTCAGTTAGTCAAATTTCTGCCCTGCTAGAGCTGCCCCGGTCAACTGTAAGTGCTGTTATTGTGAAGTGGAAACATCTAGGAGCAACAACGGCTCAGCTGGGAAGTGATAGACCACACAAGCTCACAGAACGAGATCGCCGAGTGCTGAATCGTGTAGCGCGTAAAAATCGGTTGCAACACTCACTACCGAGTTCCAAACTGCCTCTGGAAGCAACGTCAGCACATTAACTATACGTCGGGAGCTTCATGAAATGAGTTTCCATGGCCAAGAAGCCGTACGCAAGCCTAAGATCACCATGCGCAATGCCAAGCGTCAGCTGGAGTGGTGTAAAGCTCGCCGCCATTAGACTCTGGAGCAGTAGAAGCGCGTTCTCTGGAGTGATGAATCACGCTTCACCATCTGGCAGTCCGACGGACGAATCTGGGTTGGCAGATGCCAGGAGAATGCTACCTTCCTGAATGCATAGTGCCAACTGTAAGGTTTGGTGGCGGAAGAATAATGGTCTGGGGCTGTTTTTCATGGTTCGGCCTAGGCCCCTTAGTTTCAGCATGACAATGCCCCCGTGCACAAAGCCAGGTCCATACAGAATTGGTTTGTCGAGATCGGTGTTGAAGAACTTGACTGGCCTGCACAGAGCCCTGACCACAACCCAATTGAACACCTTTGGGATGAATTGGAACATCGACTGTGAGCCAGGCCTAATAGCCCAACATCAGTGTCCGACCTCACTAATGCTCTTGTGGCTGAATGGAAGCAAGTCCCCGCAGCAATGTTCCAACATCTAGTGGAAAGTCTTCCCAGAAAAGTGGAGGCTGTCATAGCAGCAAAGGGGGGACCAACTCTAT